AAGACGCATGTTGTTATGTCTTATATCCTAAGTGTTTGCTTTTCACACTACATTTGCAGTCATAAATCACAGCCCCCCCCCCCGCACTACTGAAACTGCAAAACATCAATCTATATATCATAATGGCTTGTCCGCTCTTAAAAGCCCTGTATGTGAGCAGTGACTTAGCCCGCCATTGTTCATGGGATAACAGCTCTGTTTCCCTCCGTTTGATTAAACATCAGGCGAGCCGAAATTAGAATTCCTCTTTTCCGTCTTCTTTTGTTAAACCCCTTGGTTTCACTGGCAGCGTGTTCAGTCTCTCACTGTTGCCTGATTTGTCAGAGAAAATGCAGGTTTTTGTTGCGGGCCTATAGGGAAAGCATGTCTCTATGTGAGATAATGGAATTTAGGATTTATAATTGGCTTCTTTTAATTGGGGGAGGGGTGGTGGCATTTCCTCTATACGTCTCCACATTACCTTTGATCCTTGCACCAGCATGGGAGCCATCTGGATGGGGCTGGGTTTCCAGCGTGTGTTATTGTGAAGAGTCTGGTTTTGCTTATTCCTTATTTGCCAATTAGTCGGAGTCCATGCATGTTGCAAGGCATGCCGCAGTGCTTAAGGCTGCGTTGTTAAACCCTTGTGCCTCAATGACGGAGGTTCCAGTCTGAGCTGTGACATTTGTTGACTGTGACCACAATTCCCCACCCCATGAAGAAAGCCGACCCTCCCCATGGCCTGTCAGCCACCTTCTTTTAAGAGGGTGCACTAAATACATGGCATGTCTTTACACAGAAGGTGGTGGGTGCCTGGAGCAAGCTACCCACCCCCAGATGAGAGAGAGGAAAGGCCTTCGTGGGTTTGTGACCTGTGCTCTTAGGAGCTGCGCCCCTCCTCCTGTTGGTGCCAACTCTTTTTTTTTGTTGGGTATTATGAGATTCCCGGTGCAAGCTCTAATGGAGGTCCGAGGGCAGTGGTGGTGAGCCGGGACCGGGGATACAGAATTCAGAAAAGCTTATAGTGAGGCAGTAGGCTTTCTAGGGAGCGCAGTGTGAAGGGAAGGGAGTGAGCTACCTGCAGAGCACCAGGCTGTGAGGGATGTGCCGCAAGCCTGTCTGCTTTATGTTTATTTCCAACAGGTGGAAAATAATCCATGTCTCCTGAAATCCAGATCGGCACTTCCGCCTGCTCTCGGCAAACTCTTCTTGACAACAAACCATTATTTCTTTGACAGCTCTGGCAGAAACATATTGACTGCTCCCACCAGCCCTGTACTTTGTTGAGGAGACGGAATTAATTTGGATTCTTCCTGTCAGCATGTGGCCCGGCCCATCAAGATGTAAAGGGAATGGAGGGAGTCCTTTTGTTTGGAACTTGGGCTCTGGGGGCTCGGCGCTGTAGCTCTGTGGACTCGGGTGACAATAGTCCTGACATTTCTGGGTGTATGAACACATGTAGGTATAGATGTCACTGCGCTGGACAGATTAGAAAACATACATGCAAGTCTGAGAAATAGTAAAATGATGTAAGGAGTAAAGAGAATTAAGTTGATCATTTTTGGTACCAACTGTATTATTTTTACTTCCTTTCTGGTATATCCAGAATGACTGAAGGAGCGTAAATTAGAGCCCCAGTGTCCGTTTTAACAAGGAGCCTGCAGATCTTAAAGCTTGGAGTGGATCAAACTTCAGATTTGACTGACAGCACTAAAGAAAGCTGTGTACCAGACTGCTTTGTGCTGAGAACCTGATAAAGCACACTGTAAAATCTGGAGTGGATCAGACTGCCTTGGAATAAAAATAATAATAATAATTGCTTACATTTATATCGCACTTTTCTGGACACTCCACTCAAAGTGCTTTACAGGTAATGGGGATCCCCTCCACCACCACCAGTGTGTGGCCCTACCTGGATGATGCGACGGCAGCCATAGTGTGACAGAACGCTCCCCACCCGCCAGCTCTCAGTGGGGAGGAGAGCAGAGTAATGAAGCTAGTTCTTAGGTGGGGGTCATTAGGAGTCCATGATTGGTAAGGGCCAATGGGAAATTTGACCAGGATGCCGAGATTACACCCCTACTCTTTTCGAGAGATGCGCTGGGATTTTTAATGACCACAGAGAGTCAGGACCTCGATTTTACATCTCGTCTTGAGGACGGTGCTTTTTCTACAGTATAGTGTCTCCGTTACTGTACTGGGGCATTAGGGCCCACAAAGACTGCAGGGTGAGCGCCCCCTGCTGGCCCCACTAACACCTCTTCCAGCAGCAGCAGCAGCAAGAGCCTTAGTTTTTCCCAGGAGTCTCTATCCAGGCACTGACCAGGCTCACACCTGCTGAGTTGCAGGATGACATGGCTGCTGGATAGGCTGCCACACCACCTCTAAGCCAAGGGCCGTCCACTACTGTAGCTCAAAAAGAAATCGAGCACTTGTGAAGCCTGTGCGACATGAATTTCCTTCCCCCGTTTCACCCTGTGCCTTGAGGACTCTTTTTAAGCATCAGTTGTTGAGCCTTTTTTATGCTGGAATAATTAAAATATCTCAACAGCACATGAAAGCAGGAATAGGACCACAGTGCACACAGCATGCCATGGTGCACACAAAGCCACTCAAAAGGTATACCAGAAATTAATTTCTAAATTAATCAAATGGCCCCTTAAGTCTAATGAACACTTGTGACACTTGCCCCTTTCCAGTTTGCTTATTAATTAGCTCTCTTGTGCCATAACGAATTACTCCTGCCGTCTCCAGTAGCACCATTAGCAGAAATTAGTCATCTCGGTAAAAGTCAAGTTTAGCAAGAAAGCCTTAACTTTTTTTTTCAGTTCATTCGTCGGGGTAAATAAAAAGATGAAATTACATTTAATTTAAAGATGCGCTAAACTATTCCTTTATTGAATCTTTTAATTCCGCTTTGAGTCTTGTCCTCTCCCTTGCTATCTGCCACAGTGTTTGCACAGCTTCCAAAATGGAACAGCAGGCTGCGGACAGGTCTGGAAAAAACTGTAAGGCCAGAGCAAGGCCTTCCTGTGGGTTTGGTATATTAAAGCCTTGCATATGTATATATAATTGCATATTGCAATTATAAAGTGCATCCTTTTGGGTAGCTGAATGAAATGATAAATCCCCTTTAATTATTATGATAACTAATTATCATTACTTATTTTTCAATGTTAAACACAGCCCAGAAATGCATCTAGGCCCATCTGAGCTTTGTGTGGCTATGGCTCTCCCGCTGAAATTCGTTAGTGCTGTATGTGCTGATGCCTGAATCGGCAATCTCGATGCCTTGAGTTTTCACCTACAGGTTCAGCTCGGCAGTGTGCGTTTGAATTTTTAAATTTTTTTTGCACCTTCACCAAGTTGCAATTGCAGATTGTTTTCCTGTGTGGCTCACAGGGGTGGGAGGAGGGGGTGGTCCAGCCCGCTGAGAGGTGGCCAAGTAGGAGCCATTTTTTAATTCGGTAATGAAGGCGCTGAGAAAACACTCGCTTAAATTAGGTGTGTTAGTTCAGCCACAGGTCATGAGGCGGTATTGGGATTTCTGGCAGGCAGGTGTCGTGTTCAGATGGATAGAGATCGTTATGGACGCCCTCAGTACCTCCCTCTGGTTTGCGACTCAGAATTCGGACTTACCCTTCCACCTCAAAGTCATGTGAGTGACCGCCTCATCCCATGGCTCTTATAGAGCAGTGCAGTGCAAAGCTTGGGTTATTTCACCAAAAAACTCCTTTACGACTCTTTGTAACTTATCATAGCACCCTACATTTAAAATGAGCAATATTAAAGTGGCATCAAGGTCATTAACAGCTTGGGCTGCTATGGCAGAATACTGGCTGGTGTTCTTGGCTCCTGGGTTTGATTCTGCAGCGTGGCACCTTCTGTGTGGCATTTGTATGTTTTCTCTCTTCCAAAGATGTACTGGTTAGGTTAACTGAGTCTCTAACTTCTCTTTTGTATTTCCTTGCTCCCTGGTTTCCTGGCCAGTGCCTGGTCCCACCTTGTACCCTGTACTTCTGAGATGGGCTTTGGCTCTTTTTTTTAGTGACTCACACCAGGAACAAGTAGCTGTCTGGTCCTGGACTAGGTTGCTACATTACATTAATGATACAGGGCAGGTTTGCTCAGTACTCAGTATCCGTCTGTCTAAATGTTGGCTTTTCTTTCAATACATTAAGTTTTTGTTTGTGGTTTCAGACTGGAAGCACTACTTGAAGAAATTTTACCCCAATGGCCTGTGTCCTGCGCTGGACTGGTGTCCTGTCCAACGTGTACCCTGCCTTGTGCCCGTTGCTTGCTGGGATAGACTCCAGTTCTCCCACAACCATGAATTGGAAGAAGCAGTTGAAAACGGCTGGATGGATGCCCTGCGACTCGTTCTAATCGCTATTGGTTAGTCTAAACCAGGTCGTCGCACACATTCAGATTCCTATGTGGACAGCATGGGGCCTGTTGTCTTAGGACATCCAGCTTCCATTTTGCTTGATAAACACCTTTTCATTATATGATAAAACTGGAGTTCTATCAAAAGTAAAAGTACATTTAAAAACAAGCCAATCTTTTAACAGTAGTGCACATCTTCTTTAAGGCCCTGGTTATTTTACACACAGTATGATGAGTTGAAGACTACTGTAGGTATGGGGCGCAGTGCAGATACTGCTGCCCTAGAGGAAGTACAAAGGTGAGAAACCACCTGGCTTGAAGGGAGTTTTGTATGTGGCCAGACTAACAATCTTGAGCTTGGCACACAAAAGATTACATGGGTAATCATGTATTATAATACATCATGGTAACCAAGAGGGTTTCTTCCAGTACCGCAGCAACAAAAGGACCCTGCGGCAGAAGTAGAAAATAACTTTTAAGGCCATACAAAACACAGTCAGGCTTGTTCCACATCCCCACAACTCTTTGGGAAAGACGTGTTGCCATCGTAGAACCTACTCCCTGCACTACCACGTCCCCAACAAACTAACACACCCTTCCCTTCTGCAGCCAGTTACAAAACAAAAGCGACCAAGCACATTTGAAAGATAATTTTATTATTTATTGGGAAAGACAAAGGTATTTTAAATGAAATTCAGCTCAGGTTGAAAAGTTATCAAGGAGGTACAACCCACCCAAAACCGCTGAATTGGCGACAGTCGCCTACAGCTTTAGAGAGTGAAACAGAGAGAGCAGGACGACGGGCCCCTTCTAAACTCTCCAGCAAATGAAAAGAAACATGACTAGTTTAACTTGATTTAAAGCAGGCCTGCAATGCCAAACTCTGACCTCTCTTCCTACAACCCCAGGTTTCAGCAGGTGTTGAAGGCCAGCCGCTCGGCTACAGGCGCCAGCCAGCGTCTCTCGGCGAGCTCCGCGGCGGCTCCCGCACGATCACGCCTGGACACTCCTCGCCACGCGGGAAGCGAGGGCTTGCGTCGTGAGCGTGGACCAGAGGAGGGGAGGTCTTCTGCAGGTACCACACAACTGAGCGGGCCCGTGTCATTCCCATCTGGTCTAAACGCTTTAAGATAACTAAACGTCCTGTTAAAAAGGGTATTTTTGTAGCTTACTGGATCGATTTTCTCAAGGTCCTCCTCTACAGCGGTTGTAAAAAAAAAAACCCAGCTTGAGCAGGCTATCTGTCAAGACGTGCTGAGTAGAGAGATACTCGTGCCCATGCCAGGTCAACCGTTTGGAGTGGACTGCACCTCCCAGCATGCTCTACTGATACAGTGCATGTTGGGGGAGTGGGGGGGGGGGGAACAAAACAAAAACGCAGCCTCAAGCTGACAGGTTTCAATTTACAACTGTCTCACACATAAGTAATACTGCTTTGCGGTTCAGGATATCAAAAAAAGCCTATTGATAAAAATACAAATCTACAACAGCGATGACACGTATCAACACTCATGTTAAAAAAAAATAGAAACACCTAATACAGGTTGTTCTGCCACTTTCCCAATACTTCCCCTATAGCACACATTATATTAAATAAGGCACGCATTTACACATTACAATTAAAATTTGGCTAGTTACTGAAATTATTCCACAGTCTCCTTTATTTACATAGATATCCACAAAGTTTATTAATAACAGCTGTCTTTAGTACATTAAAATCAGGACTGTCCTTCAGCAGTCTCTTTTTAAAACCAGAACCTGCGCTCCGTATAGGGCCTGGGTGAATATAAACTGATCTTCACCCCCTCATCCAACCTCCCCCCAGATGGTGAAAATCAAATCCACACTGCTTTTATTTTCCCTGGGAGAACTGAGTGTGTCTGTGCACCGGGTCTGGCCTTGGGGTTTGGGGTTTGGGACGAGTTCAGGGTAAAGCAGGGGGTGAGGTAGAACTCACCCCCTCCACGCTCCCCAGGATTATCAGCAGTTGAGTTGAGTTTGCTTCTGCGTGACTTTCTCCCCGCTGGCTTGTATGGCTTCCGATGTGTCCTGCGGTAGGGCAGAGAGGAGAGGAACATGGGGCTGCCTCTTCCAGAGACCCCTCTCAAAATGAAATTAAAAGTTTTTTTTGGTCAGCACATGAATCATCCCCTCTCCCCCCCCCCTCCCCCATATTCCTCCTAAGCTCTGCCCTCTTCACAGCGCGTGAGAGCAAGAGAGACAGAGTCCTCAAGCCTTTGCTGGCTTTGTTTGGGTTTGGCGCTGGAACACCAGGGTCATGGTGAACTCTGCGTAGGGGGGGTGGATCCAAGACTTCTTTGGCACCCTCGATCCAGGGCACGCACGCAGGTACTGATACTGTGTGATTATTGCTCAAGCTTTTTAGGAATATTTTGCAGCAGTTTGGGAAAGCTGCTCCAGAAAGGTCATTTCGTCGTACAATTGAAAGAATAAGGCGAAAAGAGCCACTCCCAACGCACAATCCACAGGACACGCACTGCGCATGTAGACGTGTGAGTATATACAACATGCATACGTGCTGGTGCGGATATTGACCTGGGCACCCCTTATACGCACGTATGAAGATTCTGAAGGGTCGCAATCGCTGAAGCACTTTGAGTCGGCACGATGTTCATCGGGCGAACGCGAGGCAGGCTGTCGCCCCATGTGGCCAAGTCAAGTCCCAGAAGCCCATGCTCTGATTGAAGCGATGGCTCTCTGAACGGTGCTCGTGCGACAGCTGTTCCGGGTGTGGGGGTCAGACGGCTGGCAGTGGATACCCTGACGGGCAGGCAGTCTTGTCTTACGAGTTTTGCTTCCTGTCTGTTGTCAAGTAATTTAGCAATACCAATATGGTACAAGAACATTCATTGCACGTGGCGAAAACAATCAGACACAAGTACGAGAGCCTCAGTGGCACCACTTACATGCCTGGGCGCTTTTCTTTTTCAGTGTGAAAGTGCCTTTCTTGTCTAAAACCTCCCTCCTTATTTTTCTCATCAAGGCTCCACGATACCCCTTTTTTTTAATCTCGGAAAGCCAGTCCCTGCTGCCTCCTCCAGCCCCTCTAGTAGTTGAACTTGCCCTGTGGGCTGATGGGCGAGGAGGCTGGGATGAAGAGAGGCTTGGGGGGAACGTCGGGCTTGAGGGAAGACGCCCGCCGGACGATGGCGGCCCGCGGGCCGGCCAGCTGCTCGGAGTAGCTGTGCTGCCGGGACAGGTAGCCGTTGGGGATGAGGGGGTGCTGTCCCTCGGAGGTGCTGCCGGTCGAGTTCATGCGGGCCAGGAGCGGAGGGGGCTGGTGGCCACTCCTGTGGCTGAAACTGTGCTGGCGGGGAACCACGCCCCCTCCGTTGACCATCTTGGGGGCGACCACCAGGGAGTGCCGCTGGGAGGGGTGGCGGGATGCCCTCTCGAGGGTGGACTGGGGCGGGGGCATGTCCGGCGGCACGTCCATGCGGCGCGTCAGGCTGTCCCGGGGCAGCGTGGAGGAGCTGTAGTAAGGGGCGGACTCCGTGTCGGGGATCTGGGGCTGCACCCGGTTGGCGAAGAGCACCTGGCCGCTGTGGGGCGGCAGCGGGGAGGCCATCATCGTCACGCTCTTCCCGCCCGCCCCGCTCGGCTCGTGGAGGTGCTTGAGGAGCTCGTCCAGCGCCGTCACGTCCACTACCTTCTGAGGGTAGTAGTGGAAGGGCTGGGTCACCACCCGCTCCCCGTTGGGGATCTTCCTCTCCTCGGGAAGGAGCGGACCCCCCAGGGCCTGCCCGTTGGCCAGGGCGCTGGAGAAGGGGAAGACCTGGGGTGGAATGCCGGAGCTGGGCCTGGAGCCGCTCATGCAAGCGGGCTTGCTCTCCTTGGCGTTGTTGCAGTTCTGGTTCTTCTCCCACTGGTTCTTGAAGGCCTTCATGCTCTTGATGGGCAGCTCGGGCGTCGAGTCCGGCGTGGGGAGCCCCGAAAGCTCGACAGGGTGGTGGTGGTGGTGGTGATGGTGGTGGGAAAGGTCCCCCCCCACTGCCCTCCCGTTCCCGTTGGACAGCTGCTCCTTCCCGGTGGCGAGGAGCGAGTTGTACATCTTGGGCGAGGAGACCTCCAGCTTGTCCTCCTTGGCCTGGCCGTCCAGGAGGCCGTTGAGCTTGGCCAGGCTGCGCAGGGAGAGGGCGTGGGGTATGGACGCCTCGGGGTCCTTGCCCAGCCGTTTGGTCTTGTGGAGGCTGTGGTTGCAGTAGCAGGAAACCAGGAAGCCGGACAGGACGGCCCCCAGGAGGAAGGCCACCAGCACGCAGGCGATGAGGAGGGTGTAGTGCACGCTGTGGCTGGACTTGTCTGCCTCGGGCTGGCGGCGCACCCCTGCAGAGGTGGGGGAGGGGGGGGAGAGAGAGAGAGAGACAGGCAAGGAGGGAGAAAGAGCGAGATCAAGAGCCGGGAATCAGATATGCGACATGGTGTATTGCAGCTCAAACGGTACAACTTAAGGGAGACAATTCCCCCGGACAATCCCACAGCAGGCCAGCCGCTGTTCATGAAATTCAAACAAAACAAGGCAGGAAGTTTAATGGCAGAGCTGTCAGTCTAGGAAACTAAGCTATGTTCACACATTTCCCCCTTCTCTATTAATAAAATAACTAGAAAGTGTCTTTGCACAAATTCCACAGGGAGGCTGAAACATGGAGCTCCCTTGTGCAATTGATCCATCTCTAGGCCTTGGCTCACATTTAAATATTGAGAAGGGCGTTTTTATTCGCTTCTTTTCACACGAGCAGGATAAAATCTGATGGAAAAAAGAACACCGCGACCTGCTTTGTAGTTAGAGCGTCTAAGCCTGGTTCTTGTGTTGCCTGGGGAATTGTTTTAAAAGGCTTTGTTTGAAATGCTTGGCAGGGCCGCTTGCTTTTCACACTCAAAACAAAACTCTTAACATGAATGTTTGTCTTTCTGCCCATTTTGTTCCCCATATCAGATTGAAGTTTCATCCCTGTAGCACCTGTTGTTCAAGGAGACTGAAGGGGAGTGAGTGCCCTGAGATCGGGGTGACCATATGCCTCCGTGTTCATCTGGACACTCGGAGACAGAGATGAAGTTTTGTCTTCATCCTTTAATGAAGTTACACTTCACCTTCATTAAACTGAATACGATTGTCTAACTGTCCTGAAGAGAAACAACTAACAAAAAATACTGAAGTTTTTATTTTTGCATGCTAATTTTGCATTCACTTATGTAACTGAGTAAATCTTTAGCTTCTATTAATGTTGTATCACATCTAAATCACAATGAAGACTCCCAGAAGACACTTATAACGATGGCCAGCTGTTCACTTGGTCTAACTGATGGCAGGACCAGCCTGCAGCTGATGAATAGTGTTGCAGTTTTACTGTGTGCAGTCATTAGACTGACCATGATCTATATCTCAGCAAATCTATCATGCATAATTCATACATCAGTTTCTTTAAACTTAAGTTCAATGCAGAAATCCTGTTGCATCTTAAAATGTCCTTGGCAAAGCCAGATGGTCACTTAAACTGAGATCAAGTCTACTGTTCAGCTGCAACGACATCCCTGCACAAGTGTGTGTTGCATCTCAGCACAACCAAGTCGGCTGGGACCTCTCAAAAACTGTATTGGTTTTGGAATTTGAGCCAAAACACCAACACCAGTGCAAGTACCTCTTGTCTATTACACATTATCCATCACCTACCTCGGTCACAACCATGCCCTCCAAGATCTTAATCCTACAGAAAAACAGTGCGGTGTTCACACCACCCAGGTAGCGTTATTCTTTAAAGCTGGGATGCTAACCTTGGCTAATCTCCAGGACAGGTCTGATCAGCCTAGCCTCCGTGAGTTCGCTTTCTCACCCGCTTTACACTTCTGAGATGCAGATTTGAGCTATATGTGCAGAGCATACACCACTTGGCCCTGTTGCACTTCACCAGAGAAGGGTGAAGTTAGTCCTCAAGGCAAAGAACTTGACAATCTTTCAAGAAGAAAAGCACAATTTAAAATGCAGTGAAACTAAAGCAGTTTCTGTGGATGCCTTTGGCCATGGAATACTAAAACAGAGCACAATTTTAGCCATCACCTACCACAGATTAGGCTCATCTGCAAAAGATCTAGCATCTGTTAGACTGGGCACTGTACAATCGGTGACAAAACTCCATATAGCAAATTAGTGGCTGAAATGATCTCAGCCACAAGGGAACAGACTGCAGGTGCTGCAGTTTGGATAATTTTCTTAGCTTCCTACCAAGATGCTACAGCTGGTACATCCACAGCGGCATTGAGGAAAAACAAGGAAAGGAAATTCTGCAGGCAGCTTTTCAAGTTATTTACAGCAACATGCTTAGCATTGAAAAAAAGACAGCACATCCACAGACCTTCAAGAGATACTAAATATCCTTTCAAAACTGCAGCAGAGCCATGAAAAGATGGAACATCCTGCACAGCAGATGCAAAGCAAATACAGAAGTTTGTTTCAATATCTGAGACAATTACAGAGTGAGTGATAAAGGGTATTTGCAAACCGGATGCAGTAAATCAAAGACTTTTAAAGAATAATAGCCATTTTGACGAGATTACCAAACTAATTTCTGAAAAGAAACATGCTAGGGTTTTGGGAATTATATAAATGCACACATCTGTCTCGCTATAGAGTGAGGGAGAAAGAGCAAAGTACTGCAGATTCCTAAGGGATCTGTGTGAAATTTGAAATTTGAATGATTTGGGGAAAAAAAACCCAACAGATCCTTGTTCAGAAGGTCTGAAGGCAAAGTCACACTTCGATTCAGGGAATTTAACTTTTTCATCTTGGAAGTGGACTTTTGGACTTTCATTCAGGTTTTCAAAATCCTGAAAGAAAACAGAGAAAACTAAGAGAGGATTTTTTTTACACCTGGGGGGGGGGGACGGGACGGGACAGTATTCGGAGAATTCAGATGCAGCGCTAGAAACCTAATCAAGGAAGGCCAAACAGCCTCCTCTTGCTTATACTCTTCTTCTGTCCTACAGACAACCCCTTGAGAGTTGAAGGAGTTCAGTCTTCAGTCTTGACTGGGCTCATGCCCATGAGCTGACATCACTGACATTTTGGTCAAGGTCCCCAAGGGGGGCACTGAATACCCCAGACCATTGCCAACGTATTTTTGGGCCTTTTGGACGAGCGCGTCTGCCAGGCTGAGTAGTCTGCAAGCTGCGTCCACTTTCCTAGAAAAGACAGAGCACAGACCCATACCGCTGCGAGCTGGGGTTGGACGTGGGCTATAAATACAAACTAATCTCCCTGCTAATGCCAAGAATCTCTCTCTCTCTCCCAACTGCGCCGTAAATGTGCCTGCACAGCCCCCGCTCGATAGCATCAGGGGTGAGGGCGCTCTTTGCCCATCTAGCTTCTCTGCGTGCAGATCTTTTTTGTTTGGTGCCTAAATAAAAAAAAAGCCAAGAGCTAGCTCTTTAGGATTGCTAACTGACAGCACACAGGGTCTGAGAAAAAAAGACCTTCTTCAGCTCACCCCACCCACGTGATTTTAATACAGGGCTTCAGACAGACCACCTAGTTCCTAGAAAGCAAGGCACCCCATGTTTCCTCGCCTACTGCGGAACCAGGACCCACAGTTCTGTGTAAGTCTGAGGTAGGAGTTCAGGGCTTTCTCGGTCCTTTAATGTACATACAGGCTCTGGAGATACCGTTTCAGATTGCCAGCAGGGCAAACGTATGTCAGTGATTGGGAGAACAGCTGTGAAATTACCTTATACACTCTACTGTTTTGCAGTACTGAAATTTACATTAAGATGGGCATGTCTATTGGAACACAGCTAGAATGTACAATGTATGCCTATCTAAAATAGGTGTTTTTAGGACTGAGGACTGGCCTGTATCCTCTGGACGGTTCCCAAACTCTGGCAGTACAATGCGCATATTAGAAACATTTTTACAACTATTAAAAGCTGTCAGAATTTCTTAATGTAGCTCAGTTATTGATTGATAAAGACAGGTGGCATGGCGTGTGTATATGCCTAAGGACATGCAACAGAGCCCCTCTGAAAACTAGACACCGTAAAGCTCTGCTGGGGTCAGAGAACCCAAATCTTTTGGCAGGGGAGAGTTGTGCTCTGTTTAAGGCCTGGCTCTGTGCGTGTTTGGACTGGGATCGAATCCAGGCAGGGGCAGGGAGAGCTGAACTCGTCACTTGTAATTGCACTGTAAGTGTGCAGACTGTAAGCTTTCTATGTGGGAACTACTTCAAGCAGAAGCACAATGCAATATACTGCACATTAGGGGGAAACAGTCCACATCGTGAGTGGGTGGGGAAGGCAAGGAGGAAAGAAATAATTATATTCTTTAGGAGGTCCCTTACCCACCTGCCTAAGAAGGCGGAGGCATAGCTCTATCTGTGCCTGATGTGGAGAAGCAGGGGAAGGTGGGTCGGTTTGGGGAGGAACAGTATGAACACATACTGCGTTCTCAATGCAGAGCACAGCTGGAATGGAAACCCAGCTCTGACTGTAAATACTTAGCGGCCCAGTGAGATCTGACCTGCAGCGATGCGCTAATCCTTCAGAGTACCGGTTCTCAGCCAGCATCCTCCCTATTCGGAAGTGAGCTGGGGAAGCTGTAGCTTGACAGCGCGTCGCTTGGATGAATAATGAACACACCTTCCCCCAGCAGGGGAGCTGTGACTGATACTGACAGTCCCTGCCACCTCGAGGGGGCTCATGGTGTCACAATGAAGAGTCTCCTCCGGGCCCCATTACCACAGCAAGAAACTCATGACTTACTGAAGGAGCCTCTTGGATTCACACGCCTAAGTCAAACGCAAAGTTTGTCATCCAGCCACGAGGAATCAACAGGAGTTTCACTAAATTTTCTTTTTAACACAACTTGAAAACTTTAAGATTGGCTTTAAATCTGACACATTCACCTGCTGTATGAACACATACTCTGCCCCTGTTGGGTTTCTCTTTCTCTCTGTTAACCTTTACAAAAATACACTGCACACACACACAACAAAATGGAATTTTTCTACAGCGCTTCTGCAATGACACAAGTAACTTTTTTTAACTGAGACTCTCAGGCCCTGCCGGATCCACAATCTACTGAATGACACAGATGCTACAGTCTATAAACTGGACTGAGCTTGCAAAGCTGGGCAGCGGGCCTGTCCGCAGGGATCAGGGTCATGTCACTAGCCGACTGTGACTGGGGTTCTTTAGGTGGGGCTCAGCTCCACGGGCAGTGCTCAGACTGCACAAGCAGGGCTTTCTCTCGGCTTCTGGTGAATCAGTGAACACACTGCGCGGTGGTGAGGCTGAGCCCCGAGAGCCCCCTGCAGTGCACAGATGCCGAAAGGCATCTC